TGTAATTCTCCAACTTACATTCTTATTCTTTCATTTTTATGTGTTGAATCCTCTTATTTTTTGGTTTTTAAAGCCTCCCAGTGGATCATGTTTCTTAAATAAAAATACCTAGAAGATACATGCACACAGAGCAGATTCAGATTTTCAGCAGCAATAATAGACTTCAGTCTCTTTAAGCAAATATAATTCACCCATCCATCCAACCATCCATTCAATATTTGAGACTATGAAACTAATAGGTAAAATGTGCTGGAGTTAGAGCATACATTAGTGTATTATGATTGTGCTGGACGCACACTAGCCATGATTCATCCTTTCTCTGCATAGTTACTGTAGCAAGTCTCTCTAAAAGGCATGCAAGCAGCCAAAATGCGGCTTGAGAGACTAAAATAAAGAGCAATTTGAAGTTATTCCGTCAGTGGGACAAGAATTGACTAACAATGAACTCTGGAAAAATACATGAGGTGGTGTACCTAGGCACCCCAAAGAAGAGAAAAGAAAAACTACTCTACCACCAAGGAAGTTCAGTGAGGCATCTGCTTACAAGGTGAGGAAGCAGTCGTTTCCCTCTATACCCGTTTAAAAACATGGATTAAAAAGCATCTTGTTCAAAATAGCAAGAAAAATAGAACATACCTAATTATAAACTCACCAAGAAATATACAGGACCTGCATTTTAATGAGGAGCATAAAGACGTGAACAAAAGTAGACAAAATTGTTACTCTTGATGGCAAGAGTCAATGTTGATAGAATGTCAGTTCTCTCCAAATTATTTTAAGATTTAAAAGGAGATTTGAAGGGATTGGTCAGAATTATGCTAAAATCTAGTAGACTGAGACAGGGACATTCAGAAATAGAATAATGAGGTGTTAGGGGGGTGTAGGGACTGCAGGACATGAAAATATATTCTCAGGCTATGATCATTGTCTTTGGTTAATCCCTAAGCCAGTACCAAACTATCAATGAAGCGAAACAGAATACCTAGGATGTAGATTCAGGCATGTATACAGTTTTAGTATCAATCATAGTTGTGCTGGGAAAAATGTCTAGCCATCAAAACTAAGTCATCTTTTTCATATAATGCAATCACACCATTCCAAATGGATTAAAGATTTAAATATATAGGATAAAGTCATACTTTTAAAGATGGTTACATTTTGAACAAATGCATTTACTCTGTTCCTTCCTAAATCCTACTTAAGTATGAATAAAGTGGATTCTTAAAAAGGTGTAAAAGCCTGTAAGAACCAAGAATGGGGGAGAAAACTATAGCAACAAAACTTTGGCAAATAGGAAACAGATGATCTAGTGGTAACGCAGACCTACATTATAAACCTGCAGTGGGTGGAGCAGAGAAATGGCCTATTTAACACTGTGGAAGCCCGCCAAAGCTCAGGGCGATAGAAGTGGGCAGAAAGATGGGGTTAAAAATAGGAGGACTAACTCAAAATTTAGTAAGCAGTTATTCCCCACCCAACATTGGGGTACAGCTGTCCTCCAGGCGCAAGGCAGAGTTTCATACTCAAGAGTGGAGGATCTTACAGGTGCAAAGATACAGGTTGTGCTGAAAACAGACATACTCAGTGAAGGTTACACTAACTTGCCACTTCAAACTTTCCAATCTTTGACGTTTCCTAAGTAACAGATGGTGTTTCATTATTTCTATTTTTAAATTAGGAGTAAGAGTGAGAATATATTTATTGTCCATTTTATAGTTTTCGTCCATTTTTCTATTGGGTGGCCATCTTTTACATTGATTTTTAAGTGCTCTTTGTATATAAAGGAAAATGCAAATAAGTTTTCCAGTTTGTTGTTTTGGCTTTGCTTAAGACATTTTTTTGATGATTCAAAAGTATTACATTTTAATAGTTAACACTGTCAATATTTCTTATGCTTTTTGGTTTCCTGTCATGCTTAAAGTGGCATTCCCATTTGAAAAATTGAATAATATTTTCTTTAAAACTGAGCCCAAATGCCAATGCTGTCAAAAAGATATCCCTAAGAAATGGCCAGAATTTAACCCCCTAGTTCCTCTCTCTCCCTTTATAGAATCACAGTGCACAGCATATTCTGCCTTTTTATATTATTATTCAAACTTTTCTTAGACTGTTAAGTCACTAAGGGAAGGAAAGCATTGTAAGTATCTACATACTCACTCCAGTATCTAGAATATATCTTGCATACAGTGCTACTTAAATACATATTGAATTAATGGGTACTGTTTGATTATGTGGTTCTTTTTCACACTAAGGGTGAGTAAAAAAATATGTCTCATCCCAATCATATCCACACTAA